AATATTTTAAATGAGTGAGAGTGGATATAGATTGGGGGGATGCATTTTAGGAATTGATTAGGGAGTGGGGCAACATGATACTTTCCTATTGGTTTAAATGAGATACCTTCGGAGAGAGATTATAGGAATATTTTTAGGTAGTTGGGTGACATGGCTTAATGGGAGTGGTGAGAAGGGGAGAGGCGAGAAAGTCAAAGAGAATGCAGGGTGGGGATAATGGAGCAAGGAGAGGCATGGTAACGGGGACCCATGTGATGCATGGGCTTTGTTAAGTGAAAGTTAAACAATACAAATACATAAGAGTATATAATTGTTTTATATTTTAACTTTTTAATAAACAATCTGATCAAACTAACCCGAGTTGGTCGGTTTTCTAGTTTTTTTGATCGGCTTTGGTTTAATAAATATATATTAATATTTTATATTTTAAATTTAATTTTTTAATACGGGAAAGTAGGCAACTTCCCATATTTCTTAGTCTAAAATATTTTATATCATAGATATAATTTTTGTAATTTATTTTTTAATAATATCATTGTAATTTGTGAAATTTAAAGTTAATTTTTAAGTTTAAATCTTTTGAACAAAAAACTAAACCGAAAATAGACCCAAATCGATATAACCCGAGTTGGTGGGTTTTCACTAATGGTCAACCGGTTTCAAGTGACAACTATGGACTTGACCAGATCGATTTGGTTGGCGAAACAGCCTGCAACTGAACTGAACCAAGCATTGCACACTCCTAATTTCAACTAAATATATAGTCTAATCTCTAATAAATAAGAATAGTTTAATCTCCAATAATTATTGAAAATTTATAGCAAAYGTACACACTCATTGAAAATAAGTTTATAATGAAATTATAATAGATATATAATAAAAATACAATAATTACAAAACTGTACTAAATTAGTAAATAATTAGTGTAATCTCAAATAATAGCTTAATCTCTAATAAGTATTAATCTATAAATTATAAAAAATATATAATCACTAAAAATAAATTTATAACAAAAATACAATAAATACAATAAATTAAATTTCAAAAGTTAAATAATAGTTGTTTAATCTCCAATAGTTATTGATAATTTTCTATTAAATAACAAAATAAAAATAGATTTATAAATCATTATTGAAAGCATCTTTATAAAAAACAATAAATAATTACTAAAAATAAAATAAATATTAATTATAGTATATATAAATATATAATGAATATACACTATTATTGTAAAATTATTACTAATAAATATAATTTTGTTGATAGTTATTTTCTATAATTATTAATTGATATAAGTGAAATTAGTTATTTACAATATTAGTTAGTTATTGAAATAGTAGTTATTTAAATTCTTAAAATATTAATCATTTATTGAGTTTAATAATCCATAAARTTAGAGTTGTACTATTATTACATAATTCGTTATTAATTTTGTAAAATATTAATATGAATATTATGAATTCTATTATAATTATTTTTCAACTTTTAAGATTTTTTTTAAATTATTACATAATTTCGTTATTTTAACTATTTAAAATTTTGTCATGCTAAATATTTAGATAATATGTAAAATATTTAAAAATTTTCATTATTTGAATTTTATTTATTTTTATGTTATTACGTTAATATTAAATATTTTATTATATTGTTTAGATATTTTTAATGTTTTTATTTAAGATTTTTAGTTATTGAAATATTTAGAAAATGTTTTATTTTTTAATGTTAAATTTTTATTATTTGAATAACATTTAAATTGAATAATTCGTAAAATTATAATTTATATTGTTACTACATAATTTCATGATGAA